GCGCAGTAAGAAAACAAAAACAACAAACAAAACGTAGTAAATTGTAAGACTCGACCAGGCGACACTTGCTCTATGGCGAATCTACTTACATAGACATATATATATTTATATATATATATATAGAGAGAGAGATATACATACACAAATATATATACGTATGTATTTAATAATGCCCAGTCTAAAGTTTCAGCTGGCAGTCGCCAAAACAAAACAACAAACACTCGAGGGCCGTGACTTTATTTCTTAACCAAAAAAACTTAAGTAAATAAATTAATAACAATATAGTTTTTCGCTCAAAGCATTTTTGGCGCTTTTGTTATTATTATTATTATTATTTTTAATTTTATAGTTGTTGTAGTAAGTAGTAAGTATTGTAGTATATGGCGTAAATATTGAACGTGTTGTCGATAAGATAAAAAACAGCGCGTCGCACTTGTGGCGACAGACTAACTTGTCTATAAGTTGCCATATCGGCGACAACAATTCAATACAAACCCGATTGATATAGCCATGAATACAAAAGCCGCACAGACTTAATTGCCTAAAAATTCGCGTGGGGTACAGTGAATATTTGGTCTACAATTGACATATCCAAATCCCTGTTAAATATGGCTGATAAATGTAGGTATATGTTTATATGAATATTATGATGCTTAGGCATTTGAGAGTAATAGCAATCGCCTAGTCATGAGCGCGTTTCATTTATAAAATATCTGACTCATATCTGCCGCCCGAGTCATTCAGCTATATATGCTATATGCTATATGCGATATGCTCCAAATGTGAAGCATCAGCGTTCATAATGAAACGTGACTTTTAGGCTACGCTTCGACTGTGTCACGGCTTTAGCTGGAACTCAACTCCGGCTCCATTCCCTTCCTACCCACGCCGCTGCATAGGCTTTACTTGCGCCTTTTTGCAGCAGCATATATCCAAATAAAAAAAAAATATATATATATATATATATAAATGTAGATGTATGTGTATGATATAGTGACACATATAGAGTATGCTTTCTTTCTCGTTTATCTGGATGCCACTGGCGCTCCCCTCTAATTTTTGCAGCTTTTCGCCACCCGCGCGTAACCTAATTAAAAAAACTTGAAGTGACATTTTTGCTCATTTTTTATTGTTGTTTTTTTTTATTATATTTTCAAGCGACGTTTTTTTGCTTATTAAAGCCCGCCCACCCGCTATGTGTATATTCAAGTAGAGTATGGGTGAGTGTCGTTTTTTTAAGTGGATCGTCGAGTCGTGTGTGGAAAGTTGGCGACAGGTAGTTTTGACTTGCGTTTAAATTATGGTCGAGCCCGTCAAATTTGATACACGACTCGACACGACACGTCTCAGAGTCAAAGGCGAAGGGGCACTGCGAGGCTTGGAACCCCACCACACAACCCTATCAATGGGTAATTGAACTAGCCCTGGAACGTTGTGCACCTGTGCTACATCACAGCTCTAGGCGTCAGATCTTGCGTAATTGTTTGCAAACAGCGAGAGAGGCAGAAGGTGAGGAACAGACAGAGAGCGAGATAGAACTACAATAGAACTAAGCCATAAATAGCTAGAGTTACGATTACATTACTTGAGCTTCCAGTTACGTATGCTTAAATCAAGTTAAGTTTATGCTACAGCTAGCTAAACTCAGCTTGACACGAGCTAAAAAATAAGTTCTTATGAAAGCACTTGCTCTTAAAACCAACATTCCAAATAAATATGAATGTTGCTGTTGCATGTGTCCAAAACTCGACAGAGCCCAATGGACGGACTAATTTATAGATCTACGAGTGGAGCAGGTGATACACTTGCAACTATTAGTAGGCGTATTTAATTTTATATTTAATCTATAACTTAACTGCAAAATTTGGCAATTTAGGATCCAAATCGTATTTTTTTTATTTTAACATTTTTGTGACTTACAATTTTTGTATAATATTTTTTACTTAAACAGTTTTCTCTATAACATTTTTTTTGTAATATTTCATTAATGTTTTTCTTTGCAATAATAATTGCTCAGCCTTTTATTTTTAATGTTTTTTTTTAGCGCATTTTTGCATTGTTTATTCGAGTTGCCTGCTTAGTCGTCTCGTCTACACTTTAAATAATTAGCGCATTGGCATTCATCATTTCGCATTATGAGATGTAAACGTTGTTGTCAAACCCTCGACTTAGTTGTTGATGCGTTAAGCCCAAACACTAAATGCCGCACCCTTTAACGCTTCTAGCTAATCGCCACATCATTGACTGACAAATTGAGAGACTGACAAAAGTTGACAAATTGGCACACTGAGCAGGTCGCAAGCCAACTCTTCAGCCTGCTAGTAGCAGTTACCATAAGAAAGATTACTTCTGATAGAGAATGTTTATTTGCTTGTTTATTGATTGCATTAATCAAAGCTGCAGATATGTGCCAAGTCATACAAATATTTACGCTCTTCGACTGCCTTTTTGTTTCGTATCTATCAGATCGTAAATTTTAATAAATCCAAGTCCAGTTGGTTGAATATACCATGTGACTGACTGGGAAGATGAAGGAGCTGGAGAATATCTGAAGTTGTTTTTTTTTTAAATATTTCAAAGAAATCTGTTTATTTTATAGGCTTCTTTATGCGGAGTATTTTCTTGAGAGCTCATTAAATTTTAAGCTCTTAACTACAAGTATATACACTCGTGCGAAAGATTAAAATTTATACAGATTATCAGAGGTACTCCAGGAACTTGCAGATACCATCTAATGTTTGCTGTATGCCAGAACCTTGGAGAATAGTTAGTTAACTTGACAAATTTGTAAAAAGTGAATGCAAAGATATATTCATCTTTGAATTGAGGAAACTTGAGGAAAATCCTTACAAATATTTTAGTTATGCATTTGGAGAGTTTTGATACTTGTAGCTTACCGAATGCTCGAACTGTAATCAATTATCTAAAATGATCTATTCGACTATCTCTGACAGATCTGAACTTTATGCTTACTTAAGAATTTGCCACCTCAGTTGAGCGGTGATCCACATCAGATTAAAGCGCCATAAAAACAAGCGACTCTTATCAAACAAAAAATATCTATATATGAAACTGAAATACTTTGGTTTATTGTCTATCATTTTACTACAGTTCTCACTCTCTGTATGTGTGTGTCTGGGTGGGTGTGCTCGTGTTTTATCTCTGTGCTTTTCCGTTTAATTAATAAACGAATTAGAGTTGTGGCTCCAAACTTAAATGTGCCCATATCAAACAGCCCAAAACCAAAACCAGACCTCAAGCGCCCGTCACACATATAGATATGCTATATAAGAGGCGTGGCAATATTTAACTAATGAAATTTCGTGTTGTTGCATTTGAGCTGAAGGCAGGTGGGCGGCCGGTTGACTTTTATATGCTGACACTTTTGGGTAATTCCAAAAATTCTTGAAATTGTTCCAATTCGTGTGATTAATGGAGGCGTTTTCGAAGCGTTTTTTGTCGCTAGCGACTGACAGTTGGCGGCAGGCGGCTGGCGCAATTGCTGTTGCTGCAATTGATTTATAGCTCAGGTAACTGTCCTGAGATCAGGACACGCCACGGCCGAAGCTGACGACCCTTTGCAGCAAAGTTCTTTTTACTTTTTATTATTTTTCAAAAGGGGTTGTGCACACATACACTCACACTTATAGGGAGTGTGTGTGCGTGTGTGTGTGTGCGAGCGAGAGGAAGAGGAAGATGTTTTATCCTCGCTTTTCGCATGTGTTGGTGCAATAACAAGTTATGAATCGCAATTATTACCACGTTCGTTGGTTTCGCTGTTTCACATTTCTCGTTTGAAACATATAATTGTGCTTTTTATATGTGTTCGAAAACTGTTTTTAAGTGAAATGTGTGTGTGAAACGGATATATTTACTTGAGCAAATATTGCCTAAGGGACGCCACACACGCACACTCGCACACACACAGGTCATATGGTGTCCGCGTGCTTTTTACTGCCTTTGTATTTCGCTTTTGATATGCCAAATGGCATTGGATTTTCAGTTGTGAGTTTTGAGCCTTTTCTGATTCTGGGCTTGGGTTGTCTGGCGTGCTGTTTTACTTTCTGTTTTCTGAGCTTTCACACGTGGTTGCCTGGCATCTAAAATGGATAGGCATATGCTCAGAGCCAACTCTTTAAGTCTTTCAATTTATCTTTAAGTCGAATCTAATGAAAACAGTTGTGCTTGGAATATTGGCGTAATCTAGAGAATTAAATTGTGATAATTGTCAAATGATATGCAAGCAAGAGCTTATTCAATGTAAGTATACACATATAATAAGAAAATTTAATTATACTTAAAATGTGTTTATTTTAATTGTCCTTCTCGAATTTTAATTTTCAACAATTTTCAAAATCTATTATTAGTTAATATTCCTTCACATTATTAATTATTCTTTCACATTTTCACATAATAAAATTTGCAATTATTTAAAGACGTGTTCAAATTTTACAATTTTAAAGATTCTTCTAGATTTTTTCAAAATTTTCAAAAATTTTCTTGTCACAATTAAAAATTAATGTACGAATAGTTAATAATTGTATATTTTGATGAGAAATCGCATTCTCTTCTAATTCTGTGAGTTCCTGATTATGCATACAAATATATTTTATTTGCCATAGCCACAGGCCATAACCAAGCATTATAGATTTTATTATACATTTTATTATATGATAAAGAGCCGCTCGACTTTTTATAAGCCTTTCACTGGAATTATTTGTGAGCCACAAATTCTTGTGTTCTTTTAAATCAATCGTTGAAAACCATGGCTGAAATATTTTTTATTCTAGATTCAGTTATCAGTGCCGTAATTAGCGTCTATATAATCACCGATTCATATACACAAAATACTATATACATATTTATTTATGTATGACTTAGTTCTATTTAAGTGCGATTGTAATCGTTTCTATTATTGTGTAATTATTGCAAATGAAAGAGGTGTGGTATGTGCATGTGTGTGTGTGTGTGTGTGTGCATGTGTGTGATTGTATACTTACATTGTATATTTCTGGCCGCATTGTAGCCCCCAAATTTAAGGGTATAAATTATAATCCAACATGGGTCTGTGCGTATTGCCCTCTGGAAGCGAACGAGCGACGAGTTGAAGTTGCAATGTATCAGAAATCCAAACGGAAATCAAAAGTAATGCATGTGATGTAGGTGTGTGGAAAACACACATTGATATAAATATATATATGTGTGTACCTAATATATATATTGTATATTTATGTGTATGTTTGATTATTTTGCATGCAAATTGTGTCGCGTTAACATAAAAAATTACACAGCGAAAAAAATGCAACAAAAGCCGAAAAAAGATTTTTGTTTTTTTTTTTTTGTTTTCCTTAATTTTTACAGCACTTTTGATGTTGTTCTTGTTGTTGTGTATTATTAAACAAACAATTTGATTTCCTCTTTTCTTGTTGTTGTTGTAGTAATAAATATTTTTTGTAAAATTTAATTTATATAAATAAATTTATACATGTATTTATTTATTTTTATTTGTGTGTATTGCACTTTTAATAGAATTTTTATTCGATTTGTATTTTACACAATCAATCATGAATTTTGTTATAAAACTAATCATTAATTTTGTTTTGGCACTGGGGGCAATTTTGTAGTGAAACTGGTTTGGCTTTTAATAATAATATTATATTTATTCTGTAAGTCGATTTTTAAAACAAAATCAGTTATTGGATCTTTCTCAGGCACTTTTCACTTTCATTTTCATTTTCATATGCATATTTTAAATAAAACTTTACATGCATTTTCTTTACGGCATTTCCAAAATTTTCATGTAACCTTTTGTTTTTATTTTACTTTTATTGTGAATATTTCTTGCGTCCGGCTTTTATTTCGATTTCAATTTTACGCATTTGTTGTGTTGGTTTGATTCTCTTTGCTCTTTTGTTTTTTTTTTTTTTTTGTTAGCTTGTTATCCGCTGTGTTCGCGGCAGCGATCTTGAACCGACGAAAGGTACACACAAACTCAGACACAGATACAATTGTGCGGCCGCTATGGCTATCCAAACGTTAGCAGAGCACTGTTAAATAATCTCAACATGCTGTTAGTGTTAACTCAAAATGGCAGCGAACATGTCGTACCAGTTCGATGTTGCGACTGAAAACTGTTAATGCAAGCCAGTTCGAGATAGCTTCAAGCCATTCAGAAAGCTACGCAAAAACACATGCCAATTTGTACTACTAACAATTAGCCAAAGAAACAGATACGTTTTAACTAGTTTTTAGTTCTAAACAAGCACATTGCGCAAGGTTCAATTGGCACGATTAACTCTCTCGATCTCCTTTGTTTTCCATTGATCAGTTAAAGTTAAGAATCTAATCGATTATCAATAGTTTCCCAAGTTATTCATCTGTTCTTCGCTTAATGAGATCTTGAAACCCTTCAAAGTTCAGTGCAATTTGTCGGGGTAGATGCTGATAAGCGAAGCTCGTGCTCAGCGACACAGCAGTTTACAGCGGCTATCAGCAGAAGCAGCAGCAACAGCAGCAGCAGCATCCGAGCAGTCTGTCAAATAGTCAATTTCTTAGAACTTTATTTTGCGCAGAAATACCAAATTCTTGAATTTGGACTTTGAACGCGTATCTCAATTTCCAATTAACTTAAAGCAGATATCGCATTCGGTTCGACGTATTTGCCCGTGAGTGTGATGCGTCGATAGGCAAGCAAGCAAATCAGTTCAATTAAAAAACAAAAGCATTTGACATCAATGAAATATTTTCGATAGTATGTAGGTGCAGGCAATTCGGTAGCTACGCTTATCAAAAACACTCGCATTTTATCTGTTTTCTTTTTCCTTTTCAGTTATTTTGTTTACGCGAAACTGTGTCAAATGTCGCTGACTCATAATCGGGCAGCATATCGAAATGCAAATTCTGTGAATACATTTACCAAGATGCTTGATTACAACGAATATTGCGCAAATTTCTAACTTTGTGTTGATAAAAACAATTTGAATTTTAAACTTAACAGTTCGTTGCGGTTCGACTCTTTTGTTGGGTTACAACACCTCGCAACTGGCAAGCAGTTCAAACGTTTCAAAGCAAGCAGTGTCTGGCGCCATTTCAAATTCGATTTATGTTTATTTTAAATAAATATTACTAAGAGTATAATATCTATAAATTAAATATTTGATTTGTACAACATATATTTTAAATTTAATTTTAAATACTGTAAAGCGATTTCAAAGAACAAAGCGCTTTTATAATATACTCCAATAATTATGTTTAATTAAATTATTAATACAAATAAATGAAATATATGAAATAAATGAAATAACTCACGCAAGCAAATAGCTCAAGGGCATAACAATAAATGCTGCACATTTTTTGGCTCGACAATTATTGAAACGTATTTAAAAGTTCTTTATTTTTAATTTTTTCCAATTTTAAACTTGGCAATGCATTAAACAAATATCAGTTGTAGGTGCGTTTTGTTACGCAGTTCACGAAAAAGTAACTCAAAGATAGATTAGACGCCCGCTAATTGAGATTTATGCGTGGCAAACGCGTCCGAAATGCTTTCAAAAGGAACTGTCGAAATAATTAGCAACTAAAAATGACAATGATAAATTAAATGTCGGAGCACTTAAAAACATAAAACATAAAACAGATTGAAAAAAAAAAACATTTTATTGATTAAACTAATTATTCAAATAAAATTGATGAAGTGCAACAATAATGATAAGAAAGTAGATATACAATGCTTGTCAAATCGTTAACTGTTGCCCATGAGTTATATATATATTTATATATTTATATATATATATATATATATATATATATATATATATATATCGAAGTAGTGCAGTTTTTATCTTTATATATTTTATTATTGTTTTTAGATATATATATATATCTACATTATAATATCTTTTTAATCTTTTCAGATCCACTCACTCTACAACTACGCGGTAAACTTTATTCCCTTTTGGCTCAACTTCAAAATGTTACAGAACACGCCTATCCGCCTACACACCAATCACAATCTAACTCATAAATATCCTTAACATAGAAGAAAAGAAAAACCAAAACGAACCAAAATCCCAAAAAATCCAACCGCAATTTTGGCCAATCAAAATCTTGTCTCACGCCTCACCGAATTCCAACATCTACCTATAGCCCAGAAAATTGCTATGTTCAAGCTGTGTGTACGTGAGGGTGTGTGTGTGTGTTTGTCCTTTTTGGCAAGCGCAGCAGGACATGCAACGAGCTGCTGGCGCCGTGTCGCCTCCTCAGCTAAGAAATTTAGATGTTTCGCAAGAGAAACAAAAACGTGTCAAATGTAACTGCAATTGAATGTGATATATATGTGTGCGAAGAACAATGGAAAAACAGCAACAACAGCAACAACAAGAATAAAAAACAAGTTTATACTATTTATGAGCTGTGGTGCCACCTTGTTGGCAACTCAGGTGCGACAAGCTAATTTTCTCTTCTCTCATTATTTCTTTTCCACGTACCACTCGGTGGGCCTTTAAGTGATTTATTATCAGTCACACAAAGATATATACATATATATAAACATATATATGTGTGTATCCATTGTCCTTTGACGGTAGCAAATCATATCTGATGCAAATGTGTCACACTCACGAAAAGCTCAGCGAAGTCCTATAAAACTAAGCAACAGCAAAAAAAAAGAAAAAAGCCCTGAGAAATATTTTAATTAAAATTCAGTGCCCCAAAAAAAATAAAAAAAATTACCAAAAACCTGCCTTGCAACTAGGCTGCCATCCAGGCAGGATAAGCCTTAGTCTCAGTCCCACTACTCGAGGTATCCGGGGCTGATCTTAACTGATAAACGCGAAAACCAACAAAAAAAAAAAACGAAAACGCAGCACAGGAATAACAAGATGATCGAGTCGAGCAATTATATGCGACTTTCGAATACACTTGCGATCATGAAAGCTCAGAAAAGTGAAAGAAACTTGAAAACTCTGTACCCCAGTTTCTTTAGCTTGATTTAGTTGAATTTTATAGTCCGTATAACTATCAAAACGTTTTATAAAGCAGCTTGAGTGTTTGTCGATTTATCGATTATAAAATAAAATTCAAATTTATAATTGATTTTACATAACAGCTTAATGTATTTGATTTTTAGAATTGTACACTAATTTCATGGTGACCTAAAAACAATAATAATAATAATAAAACTTTCAAAAATAATTAAATTGTAAGAGAAAATCAAGTAATTCCTTTAAAAGATACCAATGAATGAATTGCAGTTTTAATTAGTTTCTATTCAAGTTATTTTTTTAGAATAATATAAAAAGAGCATTCAGAGTCATGCACAGAAAAAGTAAATTTGTATTATCTTGAAGACAAGTTACAAAGTGCCTGCCAAAAGGCAGTATGCTTATTGTTAAAGAGCAAAGAGGCAAAGGCCAGCTCTTAAGGCGAACCGCAACAGAGGTGGGCGTCGGCTAAAGAGGAATATCGAAAGACATAATGTGTGGAGACGAGAGTGGTTCCGAGGAACTGCTGCTCATTCGCAGCTCCCAATGGAGCAAGGGCTTTTCAACGCGGATGGTGTCGCTGATCTGGCTGAACAGTGCAGCAAAGTCCCTTGACCACATGATCAATCGATGGGCTCAGCCATGGCCGAAAATTTACCGCTGCGGCTATCGCACGCATCTTTTTCCATTTGGCCTTTCGTTTGCTTTGTACTCTTTGTCGTGAGCTGCAAATTCAATTAAACAAACAAAGCGCATTTGGTTTGGTAACCCTTCGTCCGATCGGAGACGAGTTTCGTTCCCACTTGCAGATCGCTTTAATTGCGTAGCCGCCCCTATACAGAGGGAAAGTCGTTGCCAACTGTCAGCTGGGTTTTTCCCCCCCAACTTAATGAAAATGTTCGTCCGTTCGAGCAGTTGACAGCCGATAAGCCTGGCCATTCCCTCATCGGAGACTCTCACTAATTTATGCTAGGATAATTTCCTTCATCTTGATCGCGATACTCTGAATAATAATAAACTTCTGTTAACATAAATGTCACAATGAGCATACGGCGGGAATGTAAAGAGGGAAACCTGAGGGTTGTCTGAGTAAATAAATGAATAAATAATGTATTTGAGCTAAGAGGATCTCTTAACGTTTGGCTTCTAAATATTCCGAGTTGTTTGCAGATTATAGGCAATTACAGCATAGTGTAAACTATAAGAAGGTATTATTTAGATAAAAATACATAAACATTATTGTTACCATATAATTG